GGCCACGGTGTATACTATGTGGAAGGAGGATGTTTTCATTTTAGCTTGAATGCCTCTCATGCAAGGATCCCAGTGACATTGACTGCAACTCATGGCATATTCTGACTCAGGAAAATGGTTAGTCTGACTGGCCCAAATGGGAGTAAGAACACAAGTGCTTCTACAAATATTTTCATTGTGAATAACTTTTAATCACTTGAGCCTGCCCTTACTTGCTTATTTCTGCTTTTTCATATGTGTCAATAAAGAAAAAAGAATAAGATGCCCCTCAATAGATGAATGGATCAAGAAAATGTGGTGTGTGTGTATGTATGTATGTATGTATGTGTATATATATATATATGTATATATATATATATATATATATATGAATTCTATGCCTCCATCAGAAAGAATGACACCACCTCATTTGTTAGGAAATGGAAAGACTTGAGAAAAAATTATATTAAGTGAAGTAAGCCAGGCCCAAAGAAACATAGGTCCCATGGTTTCCCTTATTTGCAATAATTAGTATATGTCTAGGACAAGCAGAAAAGGTCAAAAGCTATGTACATATGAACATATAAGATGATGCTAAGCAAAATGAACATCAAGATAAAGACACAGTGGTTTTATCTTTTTGGTGTTGTATTTAATGTACTTATAATGTACCATATGATTTTTCTTGTTTCCTTTGTATGTTCTTCCCCATGGTATAACCCCTGTTTTCACTGTATTTGATTCCAGGGCCCTGAAACTTGTATATACATTTTTCTAATTTGGGGAAGGGAAGGGAAATAACAAAATGCTGAAATAGGATACAGGTTGACCCATTTTAACAATAAGATGTACAAGACACTATGTTGAAAATGAACTTTACAACTTGGGGGCGGGCAGGAAGAAGATAGGGAGGTGGGGAGGGAAGGGATGGTAGGGGAAAAACAAAGGAGGAGGTAACAACGCTCAATAGGAAATGTACTCATTACCTTACTCATGTAACTGTAACCCCTCTGTGCAGTATTTTTACAATAAAAAGAGAAAAAAAGAATAAGCAAGTTCTTTGTTGAAATATTACTTAGCTCAAATTTTCATGTACAGGAGGGGAAGGGGAAAAACAAATCGTTTAAATAGGGATACAGGTGGACCCATTGCAACAATGAGATGTACAAGTCATTATGTCGAAAACGAACTTTACAACTTTTGTGCGGGGGCGGGGGGGGGGGGGACCTGGGGCGGGGGGCAGGGGGAGGATGGGAAGGGATGGGAAGGGGAAACAAAGGAGGAGGCTACAATGTTTGATAAGAAATGTACTCATTATCTTGCCCATGTAATTGTAACCCCATGTACAGTATTTTCACAATTAAAAAACAACAACAAAATTTCATGTACATGAAATACTATTCCTTTTATAAATAGGATTATCTTCTCCAAAATTATTTTGACTTTATTTGCTTATTCACAGGCAAACATTTATTGAACACTACAGTGTGCCCAGCACTATCTGGGCACTTGGGATGCAGCTGTGAAACAGAAACCAAAAAGATATTCTCTGCTGTGGGGGAAACTTTAATTATTTTTTCCTATCTATTATTGTCTTCTCTTTCCTATCCAAGATAGTCTTTTCTTAGTTTGCTTAGACATGGGGTTCTTATTTTCTTCAAGGAGACTTTTTTTTTGGTCTTGGGGCTTGAAATCTGGGCCTGGGCACTTTCCCTGAGCTCTTCAGCTCAAGGCTAGTGCTCTACCACTTTGAGCCACAGTGCCACTTCCAGTTTTCTGGTGATTAATTGGAGATAAGAGTCTCTTGGACTTTCCTACCGGGGCTGGCTTTGAACCACAATCCTCAGATGGCAGCCTCCTGAGTAGCTAGGATTATAGGCATGAGCCACCAGCACCCGGCTTTCCAAGGATTTTGATGTAAGGTTTGTTTTGTTGGAATTAAAAAGATGGTGTGTAATGAAAGTTCTTATTGGTTTTTAAATTCTGTTTCTCTATCCAGAGAACAAATTTCTAGAGAGGAATCAGCATGCCTTTTCTCCCAAGGAAAACATTCTAAGTTACATGTTAATTACACATATTACTAAAAATAGCTGTTAGACTGTTTCAAACATACAGTTACAAATTCTTTTCACTGTGGAAATCAAGATTTTTTTTAAACCTTGACATTGTTAATATCTGGAGTCAGGTAATTATTTGTTGTGGAGGGGAGAGGGAAGTTGTATGCATTGTACGGTATTTAGCAATATCTGTGGTAGAGAATACTGGGTGCTAATATCACTCCTCCACCCTGCCCTGAGTCTCCAAACATTGCCTGCTGTGTTCCTGGCTTGGAAGACAGTAAACAGGTTACCCCTAGTTGCAAACTGTTGGCATGAATGTTGATTCTGTCATTCTTACAGCAAGTCAGCGACATCTCTAAAAATTTGTTTTAAAAATAAAACAGTTGAGATTAGTTTTCTGTCTGGCCTTGATAAAAGCTCAGCACAACTTTCCTCCATGAAAGAGTTATGTAAAATGAGAAAGGTATTTATCAGTCTCATGAAGCAATATCAAAAACAAGTGATGAATTGCCATCAATAAATCATGCTTGGAGATATTGTGCATTTCTTGTTGGAAACTTGTTAAAATTATTCACTTAGCGTCAGTTCGAAAGTATGTTGGACACAGAATACTGTAGGTTAATCTCAAATGATTTACAAGGAAATGTGTTCCAGATTTGGTGATCTCAGCTCAAGCAATAAGCAAACTTGCAAACATTCCCATTCTCAAGAACTGACATTTAAGTCAATGGAATTATATAGTGTGAAAGGGCTGTAGAGCATTGGATCCTGCTTCTGCATCCGAGTCCAGCCGAATAGCAGTGCTCAGCCAGTGCCACTAGGAGTATTGCTGTCCCATGTGTCAGTTCCCACACTGGTTTGCAAGATAGAATAGGAAAACTAGTGTTTTCATTCCCTTCACTGTCTCCAATTTCTTCCTGTTCTGTGTCATCTCTGCCTTCCCTAATGAATATGTGCTGTTATACATGATGTCATGTGTTTCTCATTTGATTCTTTGGTCCCAAGTGGACTGCTCTTCAGAGTTTTGGCAGTTATATCCACTGCAAGTTCTACTTACCTCCCTGTCACTGTCAGATTGCAGTCCAACTTGAGGCCGTTTAACCACTCACTGTATACTTCTGAATCTAACTCACTTCTCACATACATGTCAGTGGACTTGAACGTGCAGAGCACACTGCTGATAGTAGTCACTGGGAGAAGGGTTGGCCTTGGAACAGAGAGAGAAACATAACAGGCCTAGAAATACAGCTGTAAGGAAAATAGGCAGGCCCCTGCTTTCCTGAAACCTGCAGTCCACTGGGTGATGGGACAAGTGGAAAAACCATCTTGAAATATGGCACAAAAGGTGCCATAAAAAGAGAAATGAGAATGTGGAGCTATGGCTCAAGTGATAGAGCCCTAGCCTTGAGCAAAAGCAGCTCTGTGACGATGCCCGACCCTGTATTCAAGTCCTAGGACCAGCACCAAAAAAAATTAAAGGAGAAATGAGGGTGCCATGGGAACCTTTCGGAAAAGCACTATCACCTCTTGGAGAGGGCTGGGATCAGAGAAGGCTTTGCAGGAGAAATGATGTCTTAACTGTGTCACAAGGGCTTCATTGCATATGCAGTCATATGCATAGCCTACAAGATGAAAATTGAGGGAAGGGTTGGGGTTGAGAGGGATGAGGGAGAATGGTGAAACTACTTTGTTGAATGGCAACTCCTTTGTGCAACTACCTAAAGATTATAATATTTGTTAAAAAGAATGGGGAGAAAGTGTTAATATCCCAAGGCCTAAAGTTGAGTAGGGAGGAAATGAAATCTTTGAAGAACTGTAAAGCTGGGCATTTTTGAATAGTAAGGGTGTGGAGAAGAAGAGAAAGGAGCACATAAGGATGCCTGTCAGCATTAGTATTCAGGCTTGAGCAACTGGGTCTTCTGGAGGTTTACTGACATGAGGAGTTCACAAAACGTAGGCTGGAGAAGGGTAGGATAACAGGGACTCAAGTTTTTAATCCACCACTAGCTCTGGAAAACAGGAAACATTTTTAAATGATTTTGAAGAATATCAAAGGCTAATAGAAATGTGATCGGTTAAATTAGCAGCTTTAAATGATTTTGTCATGATAACCTGCAAATATACTTGAACCTCTTAGATTCTGCTGATTTTATTTCCATTCAATAGCTACTTCTTAGTTTTGATACTTACCATAATTTTGTGCATGAAGATGGCTACCCATTCACAAAGACTGAGGAGTTGTTTAGTTGTTCTCTCTGGCATTTGTAATACTCTTGGGCCCTCTACAGATTTTCTTTGCCATGATGGAAGTTTTTACTCTACTATTTCACAAATTCATTGTATAGCACATATATTATTTTGGTGAATGACCAAAGGGAAACATAGTAAGAATTATTGGCAAATGTGTGGCATTTGGGGCAGTCTTAGGCAAGAGTATGATGCAGATTTTAGGGGGTGCAGGCCTCATTAAAGGAAACCTGGCTGGGCACCAGTGGCTCACGCCTGTAATCCTAGCTACTCAGGAGGCTGAGATCTGAGGATCTCGGTTCAAAGCCAGCCTGGGCAGGAAAGTCCGTGAAACTCTTATCTCCAATAAACCACCAGAAAACCGGAAGTGACGCTATAGCTCAAGTGGTAGAGCGCTAGTCTTGAGCTGAAGAGCTGAGGGACAATGTCCAAGCCCAGAGTTCAAGCCCCACGACCGAAAAAAAAAAAAAAAAGGAAACGTGCTTCATCAGAAGCATGGTTCTCTGTGATGCTGCCATCATCCAGAGCATATGCAGAACTAATGTGATTGTCAGCCAAGAGAGTTGAGATTCCTCCTATAATCAGCCCCAATCCCTGCTTTCTTCATGTCCCTCTCAGCCTGAAATAGTTGGATAAATGATTTCTCTTTAGTGACAAAGCATCCTATCAACTGTGGAATATCCAAATTCATATGCCTCTTTTTTTTCCCTGCAGGAATTTAGATAATGGGCTGTGTGCAATGTAAGGATAAAGAAGCAACAAAACTGACAGAGGAGAGGGATGGCAGCCTGAACCAGAGCTCCGGGTACCGCTATGGCACAGACCCCACTCCTCAGCCCTACCCCAGCTTCGGTGTGACCTCCATCCCAAACTACAACAACTTCCATGCAGCCGGGGGCCAAGGACTCACTGTCTTTGGGGGTGTGAACTCTTCCTCTCACACTGGGACCTTGCGTACAAGAGGAGGAACAGGTGAGCCCCACTCACTGTCAGTCAGGAGAGGCAAGGGTAGGGAGCTCTTAATTCTTTCAGCAATTGAACATTTATGTTCTGCTCAGCTCCCTTTGACTGGAGCATCAACACTGAAATTTCCAGTTAATTTCTACCTGTCCTCTACCAGATCAAGAGCCATTAAAACCTGATATACAGATCCGAATGCCTAACTCCTACTCCAGGTTGGAGGTCTGCATGGTTAGCGAACTATGTATGACATTTACCAGGCCAGGGGCGCTCAACTTTGGCTGGCTAGCCCAGAGTAGCTAAGATAACTCTTTCAAAACTCAGAAGCCAGAAACCCATCCCAGACTTTTTGAATCAGCAGCTCCAGGACTAGGCCTAGAATTCTCTAAGTATCATGGCACTCCCCAACTACTTCTACCTCTTCTACGGTTTTATCTTCTCTTTCATTGTCCTCAGCCTGCCTACGCTTCCTGGCTGGTGGCTCATTTGGCAAAATTATGTTTTGACCACTCATCATCTCTCTGAGTTTTCCATTACCTTCCACATGACTAAAATTTTCAGCCCTCAAGTTGTTCCATTTTCTTTTTTTTTAAACTCTGTTTATTGTGTGTATTTCAAAATTGACTCTATGTGTCCATAAGAGACCATATTCAGTCTCATATGCTCTCTCTGTTTCTCTCTCCCCCCCATCCCCCTTTCCCTGTTTTCCATACTACCAGTCCTATCTTACTGCCATGTGTATTTGCTGACTTAGCTAATACTTAGTAAAATATCTGGCATATGTTCTCAGGCATATGTTTTCTGATATATTTGTAAGTTATCTCATGCATCCTTAGGCTTCCAACTCCTTCCTCAGTATGTGAACCATGGTAACTAGATAATTTGAAATTATTTTTTTCCAAAATTGCTTTATTACAAAACTTTCAAAGAATGTAGCATCTCTCAGCTGGGAGCAGATGTCTAATGTCTTACATTAAATGTCATTGTGCTGCTTTACCCAGAGAATTAACATTAGCAGGGCTTTTTCCTCTCTGATATATATATGTATGTATGTATGTATGTATGTATGTATGTATGTGTGTATGTATGTATAGCAGTGTTCAGAATCCTTGGAGATTGTCTCCTTCCCTTTCATTAGTATATCACACTCTGCCCAGTGAAGAGAAAACAGCAATGCTCACTCTGTATTGTGGTCACTTTAGCTTTCCCCTTAATCCAGGCCTTGTATGATACACTTATTCAGGTCTCCTACCTTCCTGGATGGTACCTGGAAAGGAAGAATGAAAGAAAGATGAATATGCAGGCAGTCTAAGTCTTGCTCTTGAGGATACAGAAGAAAAGCCAGAAGTATACTGAGTGTGCATATGCACATACACACATACACACACACACACACATACACAAAGGCATGCACATAGAAATGTGAATGTGTGCACATCTCCATTTTAAGAAGCATGCATGCTTTGCAGCCCTGACTCTTTAATTCTGCTGCACAGGCACCATTCTTGTTCATTCATTCATGAAGCTGGATATGAATCCCTGAGTCTGCCGGTATCATTCATTAACGTCACTGGAGTGAGCTACTTGCCTTAAGCATGTGGGTGTGTGTGTACTTCAGTCAGGGACAACTTTAGTTGAAGAGGCCATGCAATCCCTTATGAAATTTGAAAGCTAAAAGACAGTACCTCCAGATGTTGTCAGATTTTCCTACCACATATTATTTTGTTTAATTGTGTTCACGTGTCCTTTCTTACAACATTGCTCTCAGTCCTTTACAGCTAGGTCCCTTATGTTTGCATTTCTCTGTAACCTTTGATTTCCTCCTCAGTCCCCAGAACATAAAAACCTTCTGTGAGAACTTACCAGCTGATGCAGAGAGAATAGGCGAGTCGGTCTTCACATGCCTTGACTTCCACAAGGTTGACTTGGCTTGCTGCTGTAAATTAGGTTAGAAGGGAATCTGCTGATGGAGTATTTATAAGAATCAGTGCTGGCATAGATGTATTCATATTATCTGTTTACAACAAGTCCCAACTGGGATAGGGATAGAACATAGTCCCTGCCCCTTTGTGGACACATCTGCTCCCTACCTGCATGGCACGGCAGCTTTGTAAAGCGTAGACTGCTCACTGATTTGCCACATCAGGTTCTTCGAAGTATATTGAGATCAAAATAAGAAGCCAGGTTTCCAAGACATGAAACAGTTTCATTCTCAATTCCTGTCTAACAGACTACATTAAAACTTAACAGCTATAAAAACAAAGATGAATTATATTCAACTACTTAAAGATAATAAAGCCAGGCATCAGTGGCTCACACCTGTAATCCTAGCTACTCAGAAGGCTGAGGTCTGAGGATCACAGTTCAAAGCCAGCCCAGGCAGGAAAGTCCCTGAGACTTTTACCTCCAATTAACCACTAGAAAACCAGAAGTGGCTCTGTGGCTCAAGTGGTAGGGTGCTCACCTTGAGCTGAGGAGCTCAGGGACAGTGCCCAGCCCCAGAGTTCAAGCCCCTCGACTGACAAAAAAAAAAATAATAATAATAATAATAATAAAGAAGGATGAAAAATGACACCCCCCCAAAAAAAAACCAAACATGTATTTTATTATCTCATATTTCTTGCCTGTGTTTCCTGAAAAAACAAAATGCTTAAATAAGGATACAGGTTGATCCATTGTAACAATGCGATGTACAAAACAAAACACTATGATGAAAATGAACTTTACAAGTTTGGCAGGGGGGAGGGGGTGGTAATAGTTGTGGTGGTGGGAAGGAAGGGATGGTGGTAGGGGAAAAACAAAGGAGGAATCAACAATGCTCAATAGGAAATATACTCATTACCTTGTTCATGTAACTAACTCCTCTGTACAACATTTTTACAATAAAAAACGTACAAAACAAAAGGAATCCAGGAATGGCTTAGTTGAATATTGTCCCAGGATCCCTCACAGGCTACAGTCAAAGTTGTTGACCAGGATATAGTTATCTCGCATTTCAACAGGGAATGAAGCTCAGGTGGTGGTATTGGCAGGATTCAGTTCCTCACTGGTTGTGGATCAGTTCATTGTCATGTGTGTCTTGCCAACATGGCATCTTGCTTCACCAGCTTGTCCAAGCTGACATGGCAATAGAAAGTCTGCTCGGAAGACAGAAACCACCATCCTATAAAACCTATTCACCTAGGAAATATCTGTCAGCTTTGTGCATTTTGTTAGTTAGAAGCAAGTCCATTAAGTTCAGCCTAGATTCGAGGGAAGGGGATTGCAAAAGGGCATGAATACCAGAGACAAGAGTCATTGAGAGTTCTTGGAATTCTGCCTGTGATAAAGAGCAAGTCTTGGGATAAATGGGACTCCGGACATTTTGTTGTTGTTAGCAAACTTCTGCAACATGAGAATGACTTCTTTGAGGAACCAGATGAGCAGACATAGGATGAATGTGAAGATGGGTGAGCATTGCAAAACAGTTAGTTGAAGGAAGAGGAGAACAGAGAGAGAGCAGAAAGTATTATTAGAAAGGAGATCAAGCAGCTGCAAACTGCAACAGCAAAAACCCAGCATCTTCCAGTTGAGCATTACAGAATCTCCTCTAATTTTCCCCAAGCCACAGAAGACATTTCCTGTTACATTCTATATCACCGTTACACCAGGGAAAAGAGTGGTCCATTTTACCCAGAACTTAATGTGAGCTCTCAAGGGGAAGAGAATGTGTGTGGGATTAAAAGAGGTCAGGATTTGCAGCAGATCGCACACAAAAAAATATCTGAACTGGAATGCTGCTGCCATTTATTTTTTAATTAATAAATTTGTTATTATCTTGAAGTAGTTGTATAATGGAGTTTTAATTCAACATATCTTATAAGTGCCATGCCTCTTGGTCAATGTACCCCCCTTCCACCATTCTCCCCATTTTTTTAACCCCACCATTCCCTCAGTTACCTGGTTCCATTTTCACATATGCACCATTTGTCTCTTCCCTAGTCTTCATCCAGAGATATACAAAGAGGCATCCCTTCAACTCCAGGTTTTGTTAGATCAGATAATGCTTCCCTTCCAAAATCCAAGGCCTGAGTCCAGCCCCCTGCTCTGATGTTCCCACATAATTATACATCACACCATGTTATTAGTGCTTAGTAAACCTAGATCTTGAGGTGAGAATTTTGAAGATTTAATTTCTTGGAATTAATTTCCACTGGTATAATCATCTCTCTGCTTGTTTTGTCAGGGGTGACACTGTTTGTGGCTCTTTATGACTATGAAGCTCGGACGGAAGATGACCTAAGTTTTCACAAAGGAGAAAAATTCCAAATATTGAACAGCTCGTAAGTTTGGGAGGGAAAAGGAAAGCATGCATGTCTTTCAAATTGGGCAAGGGTTCTTGTGTGCAGCCTGAGCCTTGTCAGACATCTGAAATGCTAAATGAACACTTGCTAAATTCAACAGCCCCCAGCAATTCAATTTGAGAGAAAAGCTTTGCACTCCTGGCTGGCACTATGCATATGCACCAAGGGGTCTTTATTGAGGATGCAGTAGTAGCAGAATCCCTGGTTTGGGGCTTTAGTTTCAAGGTGGCAGGTTTAGTTCATGTGGCAAGTTTCAAGGCATCAGCCTCACCTCCCACCTCCCCCAGCATCTTCACAAATGTGCACTTCTCAAATGATAGGCACATGGCCTGGCTGCCCACGTTAATGTGCTCAGTGCCTGGAGACTTTCTTCACATCTGATATTGCACTGGTTGAGCTGTCACTTCAGGCCAGCAACATGTTCCTTCTGTTTTCACAACCGCTAAGCATTCCAAGGGGTGACGCCTGTAGAGGTGTCTCCCTGTGATTAAAATTCGGGAGTGACGACGTCTATGTGAGAGGAAAGGAGAAGTGATTTCACCCCCTCATGAATGACTACAGTGCATGCATTTTAAACAGTCTCACTGGGAACAGCAATTAAACAGGGAGCGAAGAGATTTAATAGTGCCAATCACTCACTCTTCTATCTTTAATTCCTCCATAAGCAGTAGTGGACATGGGTCAAGTTTCTCTGTGGACTGAGACAGTGTGCAGTGGATGAGGGCCCTCCAGAGAAGTCCCAGCTCCGCACCCCATCCCCCAAAAAAGGGTAGTGTTCCACATCAGTATGCAAGTATTTCAGGCTTCCCTTGGGTGCTTCCTTGTGGTTGGGAAAGAATGTCACCTGCGGCTGAGGGGCATATTAGAGGGTTCTCCCATCTACCAGTCTGGATTTCCTAGTAATGGGAGGACTGGAAGTCTGGCTCTCTTCACCATTACCAGATATGAGCTAGTGCATACCATACCACATATCCCAGGAAAGAGGAGGGTCTGGCAACCCCTGGGACTTTCCCTGGGGTGCCCGTATCAGTACCTTACACTAATAACATACCACATTCCAATAGCAAGACCTGAGAGCCCCATGGGAGGCTAGTACCTCTCTTCTAGAGGTCAGCAGACATTGTCAACATAGCCCTACTTTTTTATGGGTTTGTTTAAATTAGTATTATCGTCATTGCTAACACGTGAGGTTGGATGTTTTGTTTGTTTGTTTAGTTAATTGAAATCCGTGCAGTAAAATGCATTAACCACTGCAGGTATGGCTGTGTTTGTACAATGGTGTGGATTTACGTACTGCATTGCAGTTTCACACTTGAAAATGGTTAAAAATGATACAATTTATGTTTCATGTATCTAACCATAGTATTTTTAGAGATATAGCCAGCACTTAGGTCAAGTACATTACCTGCTTCTCCCCTGCAGGAGACCTCCTGAAGCCACAAGAGGATTTTTTAAATAGTAACCAGCTGTCATTTTTGAAGGCTTCTTATGTGTCAGCCATGTGCTAACACAATTGCTCTCATTTATTCTGTCACAACAACTGTTGTGATCTTGACATCTGAGGAGCTGGAGGCCTAGGTTAGAGAACTGCCCCCCAGCACAGAGCTAGCAGGTGGCAGAGCCCAGGGGTCGGCATCTTGAATACTGTGTCAGGTGTGACTTTGGAAAGGGCCCTCTACCCCAACCAGAGGCAACTGAACCATCAAGTGACACAGTTTCGAAAATTGGCTGGGCAATTGGGGAGGAGGGAAGTTGGCTTTGATCTCTTCTGATTTATGATTCCTTATTGTTCGTTTGATTCTTAATGAATGCTCTTGTCAGAGTCTGTCAACTTTGAATTCTGCGGCTCCTCCCCCAGGTTATACAATATTCCCCAAATGGCAAGGTTGATTGTATATTGGAAACTGTGTGTAAATTCTAAAAGACAAGAACCATGAGGGGCAGGAGAAGTACCATACACAACAATTCTGGGAGTCTCCCACACTTAAAATAGATGTGTGCCTCACTTGGAGGCCACTCACAAAGTCAATCCCTGCCAAAGATATGGCTTCTTCCTGAGTTGATCTGGAAAGGATCTTCAGTGTCATCAAAGTGAATTCTAGATAAACACTTAAGAGGAGGATACAGTCTATCTGTATTTTGTGATCTGCATGTATGGCCTATGATGTGAACAGGGGCCTGAAAGCCTTTGACCCTGGGCTCTTAGAAAAAAAATTAGAAAACTGGTTGTCCCCTTAATGTTCTTCCTTTTTTCCAATGGCATTCCTCATCCTATGGGCCATTTAAATGCCCCTTTTCAAAGTCATAGGAAAAAAATAAGATTTGTGTAACAAATACAATATCCTGAAGTCAAGGGTAATAACAGGGAAGAGAAAATGGTGAAGGAAAAACAAAGCACTAACACAGAAGCAGATGGCATGTGGCTGTCCCCCCCTCCCCCCCCCCCCCCCCCCGCCTCCCCAGCCTCTGGCTGTCTGCAGCAAAAGGGAGAGGGGTGAGGCTGCCTCCTCCCCACCTCCTAGTGTGTCCTCCCACCCCCCATTCCCACCCACCCCCAGCCCCATCCCCAAAAAAAGGCTAAAACTGGAGGCCACAGGATTTTTGTTTAAAGTGCTATAATCCCCATTGAATGCAAGTTCACTCTTGTCCCAAAGCAGAGAACCTGCTACCAAGGCCAAGTGGAGGAGTTTCGATGACCTGTTGTTTGTGCTCAGAATAGAGTAGCAAAACATTACACTTGAGCCCATTTTCCCAGTTTTTGTATTCCATACATAGTGAGTCACCATTTCAAAATGGTGATTCTTTAAAATGCAGTTGTTTTTATATACTTACAGGAGTGATCAGTAGCTAGAGTACCTGTTTAAAGTTCCTGGATTTGAATTCATTCAAACATTTGGTAAAGTTGTTACAGAAAAAGCTTTCTGTAAAAGGGTAGTAATCAAGTTTAGAAGTTATTCAGTATGTATTATTAAAAGGATCCTCCATGGCTGGGCTGATCATGGCTGACAGCAATTGGAAAAGACCAGTTGTTGGTTCTACACAGGCTTCAAGCTTCCTGGGCTACCAGCAGCTAGAACCACAAGTCCTGCAAAGGGATTTGGGAATTGGAGATAGACTTTTTTTGGGGGGGGCGGGGGGGCGGGTCCGGTCATGGGGCCTGAACTCTGGGCCTGGGCGCTGTCCCTCAGCTCTTCAGCTCAAGGCTAGCACTCTACCACTTGAGCTACAGTGCCACTTCCCACTTTTTTTTTCTTTTTGCTTATGTGGTGCTGAGGAATCGAACCCAGGGCCTCAAGCATGCAAGGCAAGTGCTCTACCACTGAGCCACCTTCCCAGCCCCAGAGATAGACTCTTTTAGTAAGTGTTTAAATCAGAGGAACAGGGACTATTTAAAAAACTTAGAAGCCATTCTCAGCCCAGTGCCAGGAGTTAATCAGATGTTTGAATCAGAACACTATGGCAATTAAGAATATCTCACCATGGGGCTGGGAAGGTGGCTCAGTGGTAGAGCGCTTGCCTTGCATGCATGAGGCCCTGGGTTCGATTTCTCAGCATCACATAAGCAGAAAAAAAAGCCAGAAGTGGCACTGTGGCTCAAGTGGTAGAGCGCTAGCCTTGAGCTGAAGAGCTGAGGGACAGCGCCCAGGCCCAGAGTTCAGGCCCCACGACCGGACCCCCCCCCCCCCAAAAAAAAAGAATATCTCACCAAGGGTGAATTCATGAAATATTTGAACTACACAGCCTTAATAATACTAATTACCCATGATAATCATGTAAAAAAGCAAAAGGTAGTATATTAGAGATCCTATCCTCCTTGATCAGTGTGATTTATAGTGTGTACTATTTATTTGTAAGTGAATTAATGCTTGAAATGCATTTAAAATAAATGCAACTACGTCTAATGTTTTAAGCCCACCAGGTTTTCTGGTACAGAGAATTGGAGTCGTAGATTATGTAGAAAAATGTGAGGTTTACTACTTAATACATTGTTTATCACTTCATGTCTCCTTTGATAGAGAAAGTGAGCCTGGATGGCCTAGAAAAATATCAAGGATAGCAACTCTTGTGAGATTACGAGGTCACATAAGAAAACCATAACTCTTGATACCTGACTTTAGAACACGCTGGTTAGTTGGACACTTATCTGGTAAAGTGTTTAGGTGCCTAGATAAAAATTAGGCAGTTAATGATGAATCTGACTTAACATTATTTCATTAATGCCTAGCTCACCTTAATAAGACTCAGCTTGTCCCAATTTGTAGCATAATCCATTGGCTTCCTGCCCCTGTTGACATTCCCACATATCCTGAAACTGATGCTAACCTTTCTTTTTCTTAATTTAATTCAATTAGAACTAACTTGATGAAGGTTACCGTGCGTTTGAAAAGAAATAATAATGAGCCTTTCTACAAGCATTTAATTTTTTCCTCACCATTTTGGAACATTTCCCAGGTTGGGAGATTGGAGGGATGATAGCTATTGGTTTTGAATGATGAAATGTCTCCCTCTAGTGGAGCTTCAGAGCAGTAACCAGTTGTCATTATTAAAGTGAAGATATCTTCAAAAAATATTTTCTAAGTGATACTTAAACCTACATGTATTTCTTTGAGGGTGGGCATAGAAATAGGACCAGTATAAACTATTGAAATGTTAATTTTTTCTCCTGTGGTGCTGGAGTTAGAATCCAGAGCCTTGTGCATGCTAAGCAAGCACTGTTGCCATTTACCTACAGCACCAGCCCCTAACATTTTTAGCTTTATGAGTTGTACTTGCAGCCCAGAATGACGTGGACTGGAGAGTAGCTTGATGTAGATTCCTCATGCTTAGTAATCACTTAGCTTATAAAGTTGGTGGTGAGTTCTCTGATATTTTGTGTAGATAGAGAGTTCTCTGATATTTTTGTAGGTAGATAGATAGATTTTTTCATATGTACAAACATTTTAACAAATATCTCAATATGAACTGAATTCATATGATTAAGGACTTCTAAGGTATGAAAACTGTCTCTTCTTGTGATGATATCAGTTAATAAGATTAAAAAACAAGACACCAGGAAACTAATTAAAATATGTTTTAAAGACTTTTGCTAGCTCCTTGGTTTTCTGAACCATACAATCATTTATGCCAGCAAACATGTTCACAGTATTATACCCACAATGACCACTTATATCACCACTTATGACTTTATGTAGTCTTTCTCAGTCAGACAGTTGATCTTTAGAGAACCCAATGGAAAGCTTGGGTAAAATATAGAGGCTGGTTAGTCTCTGTCTAATTTAGTCAGCCTGGAGAGGATCTTTACTCATCCCAAACCCAAGACACTTTTCTTTCCTGGCCAAGAGCTTTGATACAGAGCTAAACCAAAAAAAATGATTTTTTTAAAGCCATTCACTAAATTTTCTCTTGCTGCCTCCAAGTACCAAAAAAAAAGGAAAGAGATCTGTGGTGGTCAGAGTTGAGAGGCCTGATAGACAAAGGACAATCATGTTCTCTTGTTCTTCACACTCCTGTCTACAGGTTGGTGGAGGGACACACAGCCCAAATCACACCCACAGTCCACATACATGGCGTCCACTTCATTGCTGCTCTTCATTACACACAGACCTGTGTAAACCTAGGCACATGAACTGCTTACTCAGTGGGTTTGAGATAAGAATAGTGTGATAAGCTCCCCTTTCACATCCTCTGAGAAATCCTCAGAATGAGACTACACCGTGGCATGGAACTTTTCTGAGTTGTGCTTCCTTTGCTTGTGTGTCCACCCAGTTGTGGCTTCCCTTCTTCCCTCTCCTGTCTATCGGAATCTGTCTGCCTGAAAATACCTGAGGAAGGTCTGCCCTACTGCAGTCTTGATCATTGTACCTGCAGAAAGTATGTTTCTATGTTCTTGAAATCAAGCAAGCCAGACAGTCAGAGCATGCACCTATTCCAGCTGGACCTTTCCAGACTATTCACAGTTTTTCTAAAGTAAGCAGAGCCTGGTCCCTCCCACCTTGTGCAGCTTTGCCTCCTACCAAGACAAACACCTCCCAAGACAACCCTCCAACAGGCAGAGCCCTCCATTCTGACTTCACCAGGAACACCAGAGAGCTTACTGGACTCAACTCCTGGCTAACTGGGATTGTAAACCATTTGACCTTCATGGGGCATTATATTGGAACTTAGAAGGAAAGAGTAAAGCTGAAGAAATTGGGTAACACGAGGCCTAGTGACAGTGTTAGACTTCTTGTTGCACAGTGTTTACCTGCAGATATGTTCATGTCTTTTTCTCTTTTCTTTCCAGGGAAGGAGATTGGTGGGAGGCTCGCTCCTTGACAACTGGAGAGACAGGCTACATTCCCAGCAATTATGTGGCTCCAGTTGACTCAATCCAAGCAGAAGAGTATGTTTTGTTTTGTTTTGCCATTTTCACTTAACCACTTGCTTTTAAAAGTTATTTGCCACAATAAAATGCCACTGACATGGTGCAGGAGGAAGAAAAAATTCACTGGAGTATTAGGGATTGAGGGAATATGGTGCATCTCAGGGTTTATGTCCTCGTTTTTGTCATAGCAATATAATACTTGTATTATTGTTCACTTTAATATTTTTCTTTAAGCTTGTCCACCTTTTTAGTGTGTAATTATTTGGAGACTATCAGTACCCAAATAACTTGTACCCTAGATACCCAAATGCCCAAAATACTCTATATATACCCTATATACCCAAGTATTCAAATAATCAGTACCCTATAACTTGCTATAGATTAAAAAATAATGAAAATATGATGAAATTCTAGCTACAGTGTATATTATTGACATCCCAAAATTGGCCTACAGTCTACTTCCTGGGGGTAGAAAAGCAAATCATTACTGAAGATTAAACTCAGATTTTTCTTCTCAATCTAATCAGAAATATTAAAAGAGTACTGAAAACATAGCTTCTATGTTCCAGAGAAAAGAATATCATAAACAGTGAGTTTCACATCCTGGGAAATATTGCAGTTATGGCTTCCAAATGATGCTCTTCTTTGTTTGGGGTCTCAGTTGTTTTCCTTGAAGTAAACAATGACAGCAGTTAGTTAACACAAATATTCCATCAGAGGCAGTTCAGGAAGACGGTCAGTAGGATGAAGGGGTCCTAGAAGAGGTAACTGTTGTTATTCTCCAGACTTGGAGATGAGCAGGTATTGCTTGTTCCAGCCCTCACTTCTGAGTGGTCGATGAGAGAGTGGATGATTCCCAAACACAAGAACACTGCTTCCTCCGTGGCACCTTGGGAATGTGCCCCCACCAGAAAGGGAGAAAAGAAACGTCAGTCACTGAGCCCCGCCTTTGGCTCTGATATTTAATTTTGTCATGGATTTGTATAAACACTGCAAGAAAGATTAGATTGGACACTCTAGCCAAATCCCAATTGGATTATTTTCTTATCATTAATTCCCTTGTATACCTTCTAAGAATATCTGTTTTGTTGCTCACTCTCTTCTAAGTTTTTTCTTAAATTTCTCTACCGTGTTTCATCATCAGTAAATAAATGTATTGAGTTTGGGGTTTTTTTTTTTTTTTTTTTTTTTTGGGTCCGGTCGTGGGGCCTGAACTCTGGGCCTGGGCGCTGTCCCTCAGCTCTTCAGCTCAACACTAGCGCTCTACCACTTGAGCCACAGCGCCACTTCCGGCTTTTTTTTCTTTTTGCTTATGTGGTGCTGAGGAATCAAACCCAGGGCCTCATGCATGCAAGGCAAGCGTTCTACCACTGAGCCACCTTCCCAGCCCCATGTATTGAGTTTTTATTTGCAAGCACTTTGTGTTCTTTCAAAATGAAAAGAACCAGGCCAGGTGTCGGTGGCTCACTCCTGTAATCCTAGCTACTCAGGAAGCTGAGATCTGAGGATCACAGTTCAAAGCCAGCCCAGGCAGGAAAGTCCATGAGACTCTAATCTCCAATAAGCCAATAGAAAACCAGAAATGGCACTGTGGCTCAAGCGGTAGAGCGCTTGCCTTGAGCTGAAGAGTGCAGGGACAGTGCCCAAACCCTGAGTTCAAGCCCCATGACTGACCAGAAAAAAAAAAAAAAGAACCACCAAAATGTAGCATTATTTTGATTTAACTAGGAGCTTACTGGCTATACATTGAAGTTATATTTTATAATGGCTAGACTTTTTAATACTTTGTTTTTAAAAAGTCAGGTATTTCTAGAGGGTATGGTGGCACATGCCTATAATTACAGAAGTTGATAGAGTCAAGAAGATAATGAGTTCAAGACCAGCCTGAACTACATAGTATGAGTCTGTCTCAAAATAAATAAATAAAACATAAAATAATGCCTATGATTTTTACATTATCTTAAAATACTATTTCAGAATAATCCATTGTCCTAACAAGTCCCTTCCACCAGTTTTTTCCCAGCATTTAATTCGATTATTGATACAAACCCAGAAAGAATGTCTTACAAATAATTGGTGTAATATTCTTTACACCAAGTAGATTAAGGATTGTTGCAAGTTTGAGTACTCTAAAATCATTGAGAAGTTAACATGGTGTATCTTTCCAACTTCAATGAAATTCTTTTTATTCACAGAAGAGTATGACAGTGAACACATAACAGTTCTGTTCAAGTATAATGAACTGAAACTTCATTTAAAAATGGGATTCTTTCACAGTTCAATATTCTAAAAGTTGTTCGTACACATAGATTCTAGTGGAATGCTCCAGAATTCTCCCTTGTGTTTTTGGCACACCTGCTGCTCATTCAGCACCCAGCTGAAATGTGAACTAGCTGGCAGACATTGGTGAGGCTGGAGAGTGCAGGGCGGGGGCTGGGGGAGGTAGAAGACAAGTAACAAAGATCTTGAGGTGACTTGAGGTGATACCTCCTGCATTGACACAGGAGTGTCATTCATTTGTTCTGACAAATGCTAAAAATGTCTATGCCATCAATTCATTCTTAAGGGCATACGCAGTGACTACACAAATCTCAACTGTGTAGTAAGCAATCCCTGCAGCTGTGCTAAAGAGAAGCCGAGTGGCAGATCTCAGTCCAGGTGCTGGATAAATGCCTTTCACTTGTCCAAGTCCTCACACCTGCTGGATAGGAAGAGAAAAGCAAAATAAGATGGAAGGGCAGCAGTCATCTCATATCAAGAGCAGACTTGGCAGTTCTTTCTGAGTTCCCGTTGATAGAACTTGAGTGAAAATAGCATCCATCTTCAGTCTTCATCCATTCTCAGTGATTTTCTTTTTTAAAAAATTCTTGATTAATGATCTTTCTTTGTACTATAATTGTGTTTTGTTATTTCCCAGGAGTTGTAATTATGCTCAGAAATCAAGGGCCTTGTAGCTTGAGCGTGGGAATCATCTCCTAAATTTGCCATTTCGAAACAAGGTCTTAGTTTTCTCTTTTTGTGCACGCAGGTGGTAGTTTTAACACAAGCCATTTCCTGTCATCTTGGTGGGAAGAAAACAACCTACAATTCAAATCTGATTTGTTTTTCTGGAATGAAAGAGATGACGAAGGGTTAAAATCAAGAATAGATTGAAAGAAAACTGAATGAAGCTAGTAAAAAAAAAATACCTATCAGGAAGGTCTGAGAGCAAAATTGAAGGGGAAGGGAATTCATAGGCAAAAACATCTATGCTGTTAAGTTCATAGATGATCATTACAAAGTATTTCCTTTCCTTGATCTCGTTTAAAGATGGTACTTTGGAAAACTTGGCCGCAAAGATGCTGAAAGACAGCTTTTGTCCTTTGGGAACCCAAGAGGTACCTTTCTTATCCGAGAGAGTGAAACCACCAAAGGTAAAATAACTTGTCATTTAAATCTGTGGATTAGTCAGTGGGGATGAAAGGCTTATCGCTAATGTACAAGGGTTTTAAGTACCACAGCTCCTCCCTGTGAGTAGAGTCCTATGTTCAGTTTTCCTCCAGGATCTACAACTTGAGACAACTCATAAAAATAAAAAAAAAACCCAGAGGTTCAGAATGAAGGCTCCTCCTGAAGTGAGTGATGACAGCATTGATGAAAATCTTAGTTCCTCGGTGTCAGTCATTCCAGTTGTTTTGTTTTCCCTTTCTTTTTTTTAATAAATAATTGGAGACTTTGCTTCTCTTTCTTTTTTATTATTTAATACCTCATTAGAGCCAAGAAGAGATACATTGGAGGTGGTGCAGGGAAGAGCATTATCTTCTAGCTTAATCTGTCAGACACTATAGTTACCTGCCCCTGTAGCAAGGACAGAGAATCTTTTTTTTCTAAAGGGCCATTTGGATGGTATAACATCATTCTCAGGCCATACAACATTATCAGTACTGGCAGATGGGCCATCATGTACCAAATGATTCTGAGGCCTTCCACTGACCACAGGCTGGACATTCGCTCCTCCTGCATGTGAAGTACAATGAAGTGAAACTTTGAAGCTGCCTCTCGAGGAATGACCCTTCCATTTCTTCTGTGTTCTGTAGGAAAAGCAGGACAGAAGACAAGCTCAGCTAGAGTTCTTGTGGTACTCTTGATCATGCCTAGGAGACTGAGTCTGGGCCCTGTTAGGCAACACGAAGTAACAGAAGGAGCATTTAAAACAAATTAGCCAGGAAGCTTTCAGTCTCAGGGGACAAACTTATTGCTACTATCTTCTGACCTTTGCAAGATAGTAGAAGTTGTATTTATTCTTTACTGACCAGAAATAGCCTGCATGTGTGTGTGTGTGTGTGTGTGTGTGTGTTGGTTGTTGTTGATAATTACTGGTCAGCATAATCAGGTAAATGAGATTAATAAAAATGAACTAGTACACAAAAATGCTTGACATTGCTAATGTTTGCATATTCACCAGGTGCCTATTCACTTTCCATCCGTGACTGGGATGATATGAAAGGAGACCATGTCAAACATTATAAAATTCGTAAACTTGACAATGGTGGATACTATATCACCACCCGGGCCCAGTTTGAAACACTTCAGCAGCTTGTACAGCATTACTCAGGTAACCTTGATTCTAATTCCTTATTGAACGGTTGGATGCTGGAGGACATGGGTAGGCCCAGAGCTGGAGAGGGAAAGAGGAGGGAGAAAAGGTATTGCAAATAAACATAAAATCCCTGATGAAATAGTTTTCTTTGCCAGCCCTTAATAGTGATGCTGGCTGAGAGACTATTTTTGTTCCACCACCGTTATTATTAGTTCCATATGTTTGTAGGAAGGTTCTATAACATTCCGGCTCCCCAAGTAGAAAACTGTTTGATTTTCATCTTCTCCTAAATATCTTGCAAGTTCTTTTCTCACTCCCCTGATTATGTAATTCAGATTGGCAAAGAAAGGGAGCAGTCACCGGGGGCTGGTGGGGGGGGGGGAGAGTTGGGGGGGGAAGGTGGCAGAGAGGGTGAGGACAGGGAGGATTTCTGACTGGGCAAACCCTTACATGGGGGTGCTGCAGAAACACACTGGGCTTCTCCCAGCATTTTCCACCCAGCACTACTGACACAAGGCTGCACTAGGATTTTATGCACCTAACGAGCTGAATCTGCAATCTATTTATCATGTTCTACTTCCTAATGAGACTTAAAGCACATGTGACCCACAGCTCTTACATCTATTACATCTATTGTGTTACATCTGCTTTTTTAAAAAGTACATTCGTTATTGTTCTGACACCCAGCTGTCACCATTATCTTGTTGCTCCTGGAAACCTAATTATTAGGTATATAGGTGTTGTAGCCTGTGCATTCTATTCGGTAATGTGGCTTTGTGTGCTAAAATGCTTTCTCTCCTTGGTCAGCAATTATATCCCATTATACAATGCATGTGCCTATGTTGATATACATATAAGTACCAATGTATAGATTTGGGTCTATGCCTCATTAAGCCCTAATGAAGGCTTTTGTATGACCCATAAATATATTCTATATTGTTCTTCACAACAGTGAAATGACTCCATAATAACACACTCATTGGAAAACATTTGTGTCTGATTTTTTAGCATAAAAAACCAATCTTTTGAAAATGACAATAGGAGCAATTGAAAAAAATTAATAACACACTGGAATAATAGTTGATTTGGGTATTTGGCTAACTTGGTTGAGGTGGAATCTAGTGAATTATTTGAGAGAAATGGGGCAGAATATCTCCCTGAGCTTACCTGATATACTCAAAATGTCTGCATGTTGTAAGAATTTTTTCAAAAGCTGAAATATGTTTTATTACAGCCAAACATCAGCAGGATCCCCAGGGTTTTGGGATCATTTGAAAATATTGTGCTAGAAAGGGCACCTTAATAACATCGTAAAGCTAGAAGGAGAGAAAGGATATGAAGAACAATAGACATTTTTTTTAATCTCAGAAAAAATCCATCTTGAGTTAGATTTGTTTTTATATTAGCTTTTGCTTTTCCCCCTTTCTCTCTCACACATAAAATGCCTTTGAAATATTGACACATAAATAATTTCCTGCCTAAACATCTCAGATTCTGATTCTATCAAACAAAAAAGAATAAAAAGTAAGTTATGGCTCCCTGAAAAGAAACAGTAGCATCACGCTTGCTTTCCTGGATCTGAGGGCCTTCAAGGGACATGAGGGTGTTCCTCCGCCTTGCAGGCCATCTGTGCAGCTTTAGTCCCTTCTCTGAGGGACACTCCTTGTTACCTCTTCTTATCTGACTGATTTTTGACTTGACATTTTTCCCTACCTTTTCTAGATTCTAATAGGTATATTCTTTTTTAAAAAAACAATACAGGGAGTGAGAAAAGCTTCCCCTTAACCTCCAAATGATAACTATTTTCTCTAATTTTTCACATCAAGTTTATGCAAATGTTAGTTTCTTTTTTTCTTTTTATTCAGACTTCTAACAAGAAGGTTTTTTTTAATGGAAAAGAGCAAAGATGCAATACAAGCATATATGACTAGATAACAGAATCAGAATAACAAAGCAATTACTAGAAAAATATGGCATGTGTCCTCCCCCTCACCACCAGATGTAATCTTCAGTCTTACTAGGGCATGACAGTTCAGTGTTCTGTGAAAGCACCTTGTATGACAGTTACAATTTCATACATCCTTATACCAAAGCAATCTCCTATCCTCTAAATAGCAGAGGAGAAAAGGGATAGTCGTGCTGACGTTCTTTGGTACATATCTGCTTTTTTTAAGTTCAGTGAGGGTGCTTCCAGGATTCCAAAGAACATATTATTAGCACATTGGACTAAAAATGATTTTCTTAGTACTTAAACAAAATCAGTCTATTTATACTATGATGAAGTCCACGGACTATATCATACCTAGGGATACAGAGTATTCTAAATTTAAAACGTCTCCTATCTCACTTCCAAAGAGTGTTTTGTTGCACTATGTCAAATCTTCAAGGTGTGTGTAGGTGTCTGATGCAGCACTGTCTGAGTATTGCTACACCACAACAAGCGTGGGGCTGCACCTGTGTGTGTTGTTGTTGTTACATGTGTTCTGCTCTTCTCTCCCTCTCTCTCGCTGCTGCCCTTGCTCCATCAGAGAGAGCCGCAGGTCTCTGCTGCCGCCTAGTTGTTCCCTGCCACAAAGGGATGCCAAGACTTACTGATCTGTCTGTCAAAACCAAAGATGTCTGGGAAATCCCTCGAGAATCCCTGCAGTTGATCAAGAGACTGGGAAATGGGCAGTTTGGGGAAGTATGGATGGGTATGCTGAGACTCAGTTATTCTACTATTAAGGTCTTCGTTTGGGAATCCCAAACATCAAAGATGGAAGGTGAAAATAAACATTTTGAGTATAGAAAGTGTGAATTCTGCCAATGGGAAATAATCAGTTTTATTTTGACTTCAAATTCTGCAGTGTTAGATATTAAGTGAGGAAGATTGACAGAGGGCTCGGATTATACTGTGACATGAACCTCAGTTTGTAAATCAATACATGGAACAAGTAATGTTCCAGCCTTCATAAAATGTCTTGCCATTCATTGCCAGCTGCAAATATTTGTTGAATGTCGCCCCAAAGGGCAAGTCACCTTCCATCTTTTCTAGTGCATGCATGATTATGGATTGTAAGGACTGTGTTTTCTTTATTAATTCCCTTTCCCATAGAGAAAGCTGATGGTTTGTGTTTTAACTTAACTGTGATTTCATCAAGTTGTGCTCCACAAACTTCTGGATTGTCTAAAGATGCTTGGGAAGTTGCACGTCACTCGTTGTGTCTGGAGAAGAAGCTGGGGCAGGGTTGTTTTGCTGAAGTGTGGCTTGGTAAGGCAGAGGGCACATTTTCTGTTTGGGCTGCATCTCAAAGCCAATTCAAAGGACAATTCTGAATGCATACACAGCCAGTGGACAAGACTCTTAACCTGGATAAGTAGATGGGCACAGGCCATCGAGGTTTAAGAAATGGTAACTGTTCTATTTCATGTGGTTATTTAAGCACCTGCAGAATTGGAAACCCAAACACTACCAATGTGGTATGTTTTCTTCATAAAAAACAGGAAAGTAAAATACTCTGTATGGACAGCCATAGAGAAAGACTATGAGTGTTTTGCTTACCAGGCCTGGGACTGAATCCTTAACAACCAATTAACAATAAACAAGGGATTTTTTTTTTAAAAAAAAGTATTTATTTAACATCTTTAAGCTTCAGTCTTCTCATCTGTAAAACTGGAAGGAACCTGCTCCATAGGATTGTTTGAGGATTAGATGGGACTAGTCTCTAGCAGAAGTATATATCCAGGAGACATGTTCACTTCTCTTTATTTGGTTGTTTGATAAGGCCAAATGTACTGGCCTTTGAAATTACTTTTATATCCCCTTTGGGTCTGTTGCAGCTTTGTACAAAGACAACCCATGAACTTAGGTCCCACCTAAAAACCTCTGCCAGTAAGACAATAATAAAGCTTATCAACTCTCCCTTTCTCCTTTCTTAGAGTGCATTTAAGACAATATAGAAAGGTAACTGTGGCTGTGTGTAGGTATAGGGCTTCAGATGTGAAGAGCATTAAAAGAGTGTATACAGTTGAAACGCAAGCAGAGCATGGCAAATAGTAAACACTACACAGATTTATGTAGGTAGATGGATGCAAGATAATAGAAATCCACTCAAATATATCTATACATTATTATTACTATTATAGATCAAGTACTTAATATATATTCATATGACCTCCTTCCCTTTTATCCACTCAATCAATAATTGAATTGTAGGTAGTAAGGATTTCAATCAAATCGCACAATAGAATCAGACCTTGTAAGACCAACTTTTTTTTCTTTTTTTTGTCGATCATTGGGCTCTGTCCCTGCATTCTTCAGCTCAAGGTGAGCACTCTATCACTTGAGCCACAGCGCTACTTCCGGTTTTCTAGTGGTTTATTGGAGATAAGAGTCTCACGGGCTTTCCTGCCAGGCTGGCTTTGAACCTCAGATCTCAGCCTCCTAAGTAGCTAGGATTATAGGCATGAGCCACCAGTGCCCGGATTCTAAGACCAACTTTAAATTATGACACAGTCCACTGAAATTTTATTTCCCATGGAACATAAAAACATCAGCCTTAGTTCATGCCATCAGCATCGAGATGGAGGCCTTCACGGTTACCAGACTGTTAGTAGAGGGGAAGATCTCACTATTTAAATTTTGGGGGTACAAATGCTTAAATCACAAAGTGCTAGCTAGCTCCAACCAGCAGATTCCAGGATGACAGATGAAGAAATACCCATACAGTGATCATTCATATCTCAGAATTTTTAATATTAAATAAATAATAATCCAATACCACCAGGAGGCAAGGAATGAGTTAACCGATAGATATGGTTAAGCCTAAGATGTCTTCTCCAACTCCCACTTTTATTGGTTCAGACTGGCCCAGGGCTAATGTAAGGGAGTTACAGGAAAAAATAGATAAAAGGGCACATTTGAAGAGGTAGATGATTAAAAAAAAAAAATCAAGAAGCACTTAAACAGTTTCAGTATAGGATCCAGGAATTTCCTCACTAAGTTAAGTATATTCAGGGACTTCTGTTGTCTTTTGACAGGAATTAATGCAAAAGATTAAGCACTCATAATTTTGTGACTTCAGGCATGCAACCAGGGTTTTCTAGTGGTGTCATTTACAATTCAAGCACACCTTTACATCTCCTACAGCCAGTCACAGTCCCCACAGGACTCAAGGATTTCCACAACAAAGAACACTTGCAAATTGTCAAATTTCCCATTTACATTTACAATATTTTATAAGATATAAATGAACTCTTCTTTAAACCACTGGTTCTTTCGAATTTATGCTGTTTATAGGTCACATGTAATTATATAAAATATATTTTAACAGGATAACAAAAACTGCTCCAATTTTAAAGAATTCTTAGGTACTAAAATGATTTTTTTTTACCCTGCCTTCCCTTTCAAATAGAAAATCATGTAATCTAAATTGACAGATTTTTCTTTTTCCCTTTATAAAACTATCCTTCAAAGTCATAGGATTAACAATAGAATGCACATTAAACCCAGAGGGTTTTTTTTTTGTTGTTTTGTTTTGTTTTTGTCAGTCATGGGGTTTGAACTTGGGACCTGGGTGCTGACTCTGAGTTCTTTTGCTGAAGGCTAGCACTCTACCATTTGAACCACAGCTCCACTTCTGGTTTTCTGGTGGTTATTTGGAGATAAGAGTCTCATAGCCTTTCCTGCCCAGACTGGCTTTGAAGTGTGATCTTGAGATCTGAGCCTCCAGAGTAGCTAGGATTATAGACATGAGCCATCAGCACCTGGCTTTACTTTGCTTTTAAATTTGGGAATCAAAAGAGACTGAGAGATAATGCAGTTCCATTCCTATATTTTACAGATGAGGTTAACTGATCATGATCATAAATTGGGCCTTGGCTTTGGATCATCTAGACATATTAACATGTGAAGCTGAGATATTCCTGGCCTGTCCTAGATGCTATTTCATTTCCTCAGTCCACCTAATAGAAGCTGGAACTTGCCTTACCTGAGGGAGACACAAACTCCTCGCTGGTGCTTACCTGCATACTTAGTTCACCTCTTCAAGGACACAGTCAAGTAACTTAATCATTTCGCAGACATTTAAAAGCCTCAAGTCAATTTCCCAGGCATCATCAATATGTTGGCATATTTTTTAAGTAGCATACTCCATAAAATAGAACTTAGTCTGATTTCTCCCTGGCTCATTCTATGACTTAAGGATGGTTGTGCAATCACTAGCCCTTTTCTAGGTCCTGTGGACAAGGATCTAAAGGCATCAATTTGAAGCCGTATGATAAACCAGAAAAAGAAGGTTATGTGTATTGAATAGGACAAAAATCAAAGGAATAATTGGACATAGCCATAAGTAAACTCACTTTTAATATTGAAATACTTGACAGAGTCCTTGCAATTGACTCTCTCTGTTCATAAAACCGTATTCTATTTTTTAAAACCTAAAACCTAACTTTGTGCAAATAGCTGCTGATGAAAATTTTCTTCCCATGGAAAGAATATCTTTGATTTGACTTAATGTTGTGGACTGTTTATAGGTACCTGGAACGGAAACACAAAAGTAGCCATAAAGACTCTTAAGCCAGGCACGATGTCCCCTGAATCATTCCTTGAGGAAGCACAGATCATGAAGAAGTTGAAGCATGACAAGTTGGTGCAGCTCTATGCGGTGGTGTCTGAGGAGCCCATCTACATTGTCACTGAGTATATGAATAAAGGTTGGGCAACACTACTCCCTTCACCTCACAGTGACTGACAGGGTGTTTCAGAGAAACATATGGAATTGCCTGCTTGCTTTTTTTTCCTTGATTTTTGCATGAGTCAGAGAGTCCCATCAGGGAGTATCATGTGAAAATCCTAATGAAAATCCTTGTAAAACAGACAAATGTTGCATTTACCCCCCAAATCCTTGTGAAATATAATGTCCTTTTCCTGTTGCACATGTCAGGAATGTTCCTCTTCATAATTTAAATACTCAGTATCAGAGGTGACACAGAGGGTTGTGATACCCTGATGTGATTTGAATACAGTAACTTCTGTTAAAATTTATTTTTGTATGGCTGAACAATTAACAGCAGATACTGGTCTCTGAGCTAAATTTAGTCCTCCTCATTGCAACACCTCCCCCAACATACACAGAATCTCTTCTTAAATATCAGATGAAGAAATAACATGTATTTTATCTCCCCCACCCCCATCAGTGTGTGCACGTAATGAATGTGCATGTGTGCATCTTTAAATCAAACCAATATTGTTGGGGATTGGGCCAGAGATTATTTTGTTTTGGGAAAACAGATGAACCAAACAAGAAACAGCCTTATAAGGCAATGGATTGCACATCAGAGGACACCAATGTAATTTTTCTCTTCCACATATTTTCTTTTAAGATATAATTGGAATTTTTTTCTTGGCAGATTGTTTGCCCTTTGTATCCAAGGTTATATTGTAAATAAGTTTGTGATTAAAGCATTTTTTAAAAAAATCTGTTATGGCCATCATGAGCCTGCAACTTCTGCAAATGATTATTTCTGCCTTGGTGCTAGTTCCAAGTCTCCTCACTCAGCTTTATGAAGTGGCTCTCAAGGACTATCTATTCTGCTTCAGATGTCTGACTCAAATCTTGGCTGGCTGTAATCGAATTAAGGGAGGTGCTTGCCTACCCATATTCCTCTGATATGTCATTTTTTATCTTTGATTAAAAGTCTGTAGATAATCTAGCTTATTGCGTCACAATCTTTGCCTGGTGCTAAAATCACCTGGAGGTCTTCTGAAGGCACAGGTTTAGGGACCTGACCTTTAATGTTTGGGACTCAGTAGATCTGAGATGGGGACCTATGAATTTGCATTTCTTGTTAAGTTCTCTAGTGATGCTATTACAGCTGCTTTTTGAGGACCTCATCTTTGGACTTTTTTACTGGGCTGCATATTTAACCCTTTACACAGGGATGATTAAGGAACGAGATTAAAAGGTGATAGTTTCTCATGTCTTTATCTTTGTGACTTAGAGCAGATTGAATTCCATTCCTCTTGTTTTAGCAAAATTTTGCTATTATCCTTAAAAATGAAATCAAGGCTGTTTATTTTCAAAAGGTAAAATTTGCTTCTCCAGGCATAGAATGTTTCATGTTTTCTACATTAGCTTTCTTTTTTTCTTAAACCTGGTTTTGGGGTGGGGGTTGGAGGTATAGCTCAGTAGTAGATCATCTGCCTGCCCTCAGTTCAACTAACAAAACAAACGAAACAAATCAACCAACAAAAAACAAATCCTGTTTTTTTTCCTTTGATATAATCATTCTAGTAAGTTTCCTAACACAGGGGCTGCCATGGGTTATGCCTACTGGTGATTCTCAACTACTTAACAAGTAAAGGTGAGAGGATCATAGGCCTCAGCTGGCTCAGACCCAAAAAGAAACACAAGACCTATGTTAAAAACACTAAAAGGAGCCGGGCGCTGGTGGCTCACGCCTGTAATCCTAGCTACTCAGGAGGCTGAGATCTGAGGATCGAGGTTCAAAGCCAGCCCGGGCAGGAGAGACCGTGAGACTCCTATCTCCAATAAACCACCAGAAAACCGGAAGTGGCGCTGTAGCTCAAGTGGTAGAGCGCTCGCCTTGAGCTGAAGAGCTGAGGGACAGCGCCCAGGCCCAGAGTTCAAGCCCCACAACCGACCAAAAAAAAACACTAAAAGGAAAAGGACTAGGAATGTTGTTCAAATGGTAGAGCAAGCAAGAGGTCCTGAGTTCAAGCCCCAGCAGTGTTAAAAGATAAGCAAACCCAGCCATCTGCTGGAAATTTTTGTCTTTCAAAGTAAATTGAAATTGTTTCATGCTTCATTCATAGGAAGTTTACTTGATTTCTTAAAAGATGGAGAAGGAAGAGCCCTGAAATTACCAAATCTTGTTGACATGGCAGCACAGGTAGGTCCCAGAGTCCCTTGATTTTTGTCCTGGATGTGGTGCCATGTAAATCCATCAAGTCATTGTGTAACATGCCTGTCCTCTTTCCTGGATTTGCACAGGTTGCTGCAGGAATGGCTTACATTGAGCGCATGAATTACATCCACAGAGATCTGCGGTCAGCAAACATTTTGGTAGGGAATGGACTAATTTGCAAGATTGCTGACTTTGGCCTGGCCCGGCTGATTGAAGACAATGAGTACACAGCAAGGCAAGGTGAGCACTTGAGCAATGATGGCTCATGATGGCATCTTTGCTAATAGCTGCTGCACTTTTTTCTCCTTACCTTCCCACTGAAAAATAGTAGAAACATCCTTCAGCTGGGTATTCTGCTCTTTGATCTGGCAGGAGTTTAACAGCTCTGCTGTAGTGGGTCCAGTCGATGGATGAGATGATTTTCAGCATGTAGGGTGTGCCCTCCTGACAGCATTTAGGCCTAGGATACTGAACTTTGGGAGAAGGAAGACTCTAGAATATGAAGAAATCTATCAAGTAATAACTCACTTTTCACTTAATCATGGTCCCAGCAGAAAACAGGGTGCACACTCAAAATGAAAAGGGGCATAGAGGAGTCTTTTACAAAGCAATCGGCAAGGCATTTAAAAAAGAGAAGAACAGGGCAGAGTATAGTGACTGAGACCTCTTAGCAGCAGTGGAGCTGAGACTTGAAAAGCGAAGAGCAGGGAGTAGGCAGCAGAAGCCAGTGAGGAGGGTTTCCTGGTAGAAAGGCTACAGCAATACATGAGGAGGAGAGTTAATACACACCTCACTCTGCAGCTGGCCATCAGGTCTTCTGCCTTGCTATCCCAGCCAGAAGCCCAAAGTGTCCATTGCAAAGCCCTCAAGAGTCCAGAGCAGAGAGAAGAAGGATAGAGAGAAGATCTAAGGGACTGTTACCTAACAGTGTCGTCCCCCAAAAACTCCTGCTTTTTTTCCTCATCTGTCTCCACCTCAGCCCCTACAAAGGTTCATTGAAATAATAAGTATAATATATTTACACACCAAACCTGCAGCCAGTCCATTAGGGACACTTTTGAGGAGTTCCTACAACAAGGAATAGTTCTTGGGGATAGTCTTCTTTCCTGTATATTCATACAGTACCACGAGGTCAATGTGTGGGGTGAAGTAGACTGTTTGTAGTCAAGTGTAGACTCTTGTGTAGATACTAATGCTTGAAACTGAGGAGAGGGGAAAGTTTCACTGGTGTTGGTAACCCAAGCATGGTCATTCCAAATCAGATTGAGCAGTAACTGACTGGAATATATTATAGGGTAGTGTTTCTACTAATTTCATAGTGGCCATACCTACAGTTATTTTCCTTCTTCTCCTCCTCCTCCTTCTTTGAATTCTCCATTTCCTGCTATTCTTTCTTCCTTTTATCTAACTTGAGTGATGAAGGAAAATGTTAAACTAAACCACTGGCCAGTACAGATATTTTCTGGAAGCTAAATTATGTGTTGGTCAGACATCTAGCTATTTGAATATCCCCAGCATGTGGCAGTTGTTGTCCTGGAGCCAAATGCCTGGACAGTGAGCACACTTGCATGCACACGCTCACATATACACACACACAGAAGCAGATGGCATGCCGTATCTCTAATCAAAGGCACACTTTGATTGGCACTGGCAGTGGAGAAAGGAATGTGGGTGTGATTTTGAGGCCAGGTCTGAGACCTGGCCCTGAATGCGCCCCTCAGCTCCGGAAGGAAAGTGAGTGAAGGTTATAAGACCTGAATATTTGATTTAGGAAAGGGTTCCAGTAGAGCCAGGTTTTCTTTTGTTTTGTTTTACCAGACTTCAGACTCTGGAATTTGCAGTTAACACCCTTGAACTATCTAGTAAATGAGTGGCAGGCCAGAAGCCCCCATAGTGGGGGCTGTGGCAGGGACTGTTGACAGGTATGGTACTTAGCTACACGTCATTTATTGGGGTTGAGGTGCTTTAGGCAGGCATCCTGAGTGAGTCGCATCCCTCACTAGCCTGCTCTAATGTCAGCTGCCACAGACCTCAGCCCTGGTTCTGCAGCCCTGCTTGGCAGTTCTCTGTCCTAACAGCCTTTCTGCCAGCTTCTATGGTCACGCCCCCAGCGGCTGTCTGAATTCCTTTCAAAGGACCCGCCTCAGACCCTTTGTTCTGCATTTCCTTTATTTGATAACCAAATAGAAGATTCCATTCTTCTCTCAGAACATTTTTCTTCTTCTTTTTTCCTTTCCCAAACATCTTCAAATGCATGCCAGATACAGGAAAGAGATAAGTAAAGTAAATTAAATGCACTGAACAAATAGGAGGGCATGACAATGTAGAACAAAACCTACAGAGCCCTAGGATTTCCAAAGAAATGAAATGATGCTTTGCAACAGGGCACAAGGAAAGTGCCATTTGGCAAGGGTGGGAGGTGGGAGGTGGGAGGTAATACCCCCAGCCTGTGAGGGGGAAGGGGCAGATTCAGTACGAAGGAAGCAATAGGAATAGACTGCAAGTGATAGTGCCTTGTACACAGCTACTAAATAGCAAGCCCAGAATTTGAATCTAAGTACAGCCTGGCTTACTGCTTTTACCCTCTCTTAAGCTATACTCAGTCTCTTTCAAGAGTGATTGAAAGAACAGAAAGTAAATATAGAGAGGATTAGCCAGAAGTCTCCTTTTCCCTTTATTTTATAGGAAAGTTTTAGAGGGCACCTTCTAATGTCTATGTACTTGAGGATTTCAGACTTTGATCTTCCTGCTCTGGGACAACCCAGCTGTTTGTGAAATTCCTCCCAAGTATCTTCCCTGCCTTGGCTTCTTCACAAAGCAGGAAGGGCCTGGCACGTATCCGCTGGTGCACTCTGCAGATGGCATTCAGGCTACATGCTGAAGTTTCTACAGGGGATTAATCAGCTCCTTCAGACAGCTGGTCCATGTGCCTAATAATATTTGCAAGTTGGGTTTTATGTTACCCATGGGCCACAGCTATGCCACATCTTGATTATGACAGTACAGGCAGTGTTCAAAACACATGCCAAACACAGATATTTTAAGACCATGAATGACAATTGTTGGCAAAACAGTTGTGCATTTCTCATCTCAGGATGCTCTGAAATGTTTGTCACCCCCTGAGCAGTGAGGTATGATTGTACAGAGCACAGGCACAATTAGGATTGGAGCTGTCCAATTGGTCTGTTCCTTCATATGTTCATTTCCTCCTACCATCTCCATCTCACTTCCACTCTCCCACCTACACCTATCCCTGAGCTGTAAGCAGAAGCCCATGTCAGAGGGGAAGTCAAGACCAGACCCAGCACTGGTAGCTCATGCCACCAGCTATTCAGGAGGCTGATATCTAAGGATCAGGGTTTAAAGGTAGCCCAGGCAGAAAGTCCATAAGACTCTTATCTCCAATTTGCCAGCACAAAAAAAAAAAAAAAAAAGAAAGAAAGAAAAGAATAAAAAGGAAGTAGAGATGTGGCTGATATGTTAGAGTGCCAACCTTGAGTGGAAAAAGCCAAGTGAGAATATGAGGCTCTGAGTTCAATCCCCAGTACCAGCTTTTTAAGAAAAGGAAGAAGCCTAAAACCGTACAGGGGTAGTCATCAAGCAAAGGGAGGGACAAATGAAGTTAGGCAGAACAGGTCTACCGACCTGGAGCTATTTAATTTTTCCTATTTCAGATTGCTTATCCGTAAGAAGGAAGGTATCTTACTTGCTTGTGCATGGTTTTTTTTTTACAATTAAGTGAAACAATGGGTATGCATGTTTAACTTGGGGTCCAGCTCATAAAGAGGTAAATCAATGTTATTACTGTTATGCATGAGTTGCCTATGCAATGGAAAGGCTCAAATGCTATTCAGGAACAGGAAAGAGGAGTCAAAGACTTCCCAAGCAGATAACTATAGGTCATCATTCATTGGAATGGAAATACCAACAGCATGTTGGAATGAGAGCTGACGTTCAGAGGAGGAGAATGAAGTTGGTTTGGGGTTTGTTGAGTTGAAGGTGGCTGTGGTGGTGGCTCCAAGCCCAGAGAGGCCAAGTGAGGTGTTATTGCTATAGCTGTCCTCTCCACCCGCCGGCCCTCCCTTTGTATCACCTGCACCCCCCCCTCAAGATTGGCTCATAGCCCCTTCTCTACCAGGATACCCAGAATCCTTCCAGAGATAATCGCAGCCCCACATGGACCCTTGACACGCAAGTGTCTTCCACACGTGTTGTCTTCATGCACCACACCTGTCCTGTGACTACCAGCCAACATGTTGCTTCCTGAGACTCACAGCTCCTCCAGCCATCAGTTCCTTCACAGCATACATGAGAAAAGGTGGAATAATTCTCCACAGACTTGTAGTTGTTTTTTTTTTTTTTTTTTTTTTCTTTCATGGGCTTTCAAGTAGCCAAATACTGACTAATGTTGCTTTAAACATAACAAATTCAGATAGAGCAGACTTACATGGTGAATCACTTGCTTCAGTGGAAATGTTCTTGATTTTTTATTAAGCCATAACATACAGTAAAATGAACAGATCTGAAGTGGTCAACTCGGTGCATTTTTTTGTATGTGTGTATACCTGAAATTACCCCCACAGAGGAAGACAGACACCAGAACACCCCCTCATGCCTAACTTTGTCAGTAATAGCCCCAGAGGGAGCCACTGTTTCCCTTTCTTGTTGTATATTAATAGCATGAATAGTAGACTATTGTATAATATAGTAAATGTGGAATAGTAGAGTTTTAGTGGAATAGTCGATTATTGCCTTTGTCTGGCTTCTTTCTCATCAGTGTGTCTGTAGATTCATCTATTATTGAGTATAGCAATACTTCTTGCCTTCTCATGACTGACTAATATTCTACCACAAATGGATCATAGCTAGCCTGTCCTGTTGTTAGGGACAATTACAGATAATTTCCATCATCCATTGAGGCTATTATGAATAAAGCTGCTGTGGTGGTTAACATACACTCTCCTGTCTATGGAATTGCTACAATTGGAAATGCTGGTCACCAGGAAGGCCTAGGTTAGCAATGGTCACTGCCTCCACAGATTTGGTGAAGGGAGAATTGTTACCGTGTCATTTATTGGTGTTGCCCCTTGCAAGCATGGTATACTCTGACATAGGACTGAACGTTTGTGAGCTTCATTTTTTATCATCTCTAAAATGGAAGTAATAAAAAAAAAGATTAACTCAGATAATTAGTGTGAGAGTTAAATGAGCCATCTGTAAAATTTTTTTGAAGGGGTTAT